ATATATATATGTGTGTGTGTGTGTGTGTGTGTGCGTACGAGAACGGAGACGCTGTGCATGCCTAAAAGAGCCATCTGTATAAACTGTATACCTGTATAATTGTTCAGAAAACATCATGTAGTCCAATGCGAGCTAGAGGTTGCAATCGTCCAAAAATGTGTTGCCCTCTCTTACATGAAATGTATTTTTTTAATTTCATTTTTTGTTTTGCGGCTGCCTGACAGAAAGTTAGGAGGTTGAATCTTCTTAAACGGCATTCAATGTGACGTCTTCCTTCTTTTGTGACATAGGCCGACTGCACAGATTCCTCGGGCAAACTTTACGTTACGGTGACGAGGAATAGCGGAAAATGTGATCAATAGGAATGAGAAGACTGTGGAAAGTTTCAAAGGCTGTTGGTAGACAAGGTATGTAGTTTCGAGTTTTACCGTGTTAGTCGTTTCTATTTACACTAATCTCGCTATATTGTTCACGCTTTACTGCGCTTTTCCGAGTTGATAACAAAACTCCGAGCTTCAGTCTTCGTGATTTACTGAAAACAAACTTGAGCATGTGCAACTGATAACTTCTAGCGTATTTTTATTGCAAAATATTTTATGCGAAAACACAAGATACTCACACTCAATCGCCTTAATTTAGCCAGAGGCCCGTGGATAATCACTTCCTTATCTGGATGAAGTCTGAAATTATTTGTTCAATTAGATTCATATAGCCTTATACACACCATCCGGCTAATGTGCGAGTTATCCTCGTACTCCTAGCATATTTCAGCCATATTTCTTACTTGAGCCATAACTTGTAATTATATTAGAAATTATTTTCGCGTAGTTTTGTATTTATCACACGCTGTTCAATAAGAACTAAATAGAATTGGTAGGTGAATCATATAGAAATGTTTAGATAAAATGTAGGCGTGTTTGCAATCAACATCACAGTTAAATAACACAGTGCGACTATGAAATTTGCCGCGGAACATAAATATGTGATTGTTATGTAGTTCGGTGTCCCGATGACAATTGTGAAAACCATTTTTCGCTGTCACCTAAACATTCTTCTGAAAAAGCAGTTTTATGTGTGCTTGGCTGCTTTATTTATGTTGTTGCAGTACTTTTCACATTCTGTTATTTTAGGAATACTATTGCCTTTGGAAGTAGAGAGGGCAGGGGCAGATATGCACTTGGGGCAAAGGGCGTTGCCCTTGCATCAATCTATAGTGAGATGACACAGTATATATTCTTTAAATGTGTAAATCCTCTAACGTGAAGAATATTTGTTGTGGATGATCTCGTGTTTCTTACTCTCAATAATGTCTAGGAAGTCTGTTAATTCACCAAATCTTTTCTATTATGTGTTTAACGAGTTTTCGACAAAGTCTCAAAGACTTTCCATTTCTTCTATCGCTGAAAAAGGGTACGAGTTGTATTTTGAATCAAAGTAGATGAGGGTGTTGGTCACCGCAGAAACGTTGCTCCCGCTATTTAAGAGGCAGGTTGCATGGAATCCACCCATCGATGCCATTTGCTCTACCACAGTTGTGGAGGGAACCTAGACAGTACATTACAGATTACTACTTTTGTTTAACGAAAGTAACAGGAATCTCAAGTAAATCAAAACGCAACGTTTCTTAACCAAATCTGGAATCTGCAATGCGCCTACGTCTGCATTCTGATTCTCCCCCAGTCCAAAACCACCATCGGAATGGACAACGAAAGATTAAACAGACGATGGTAGTCACAAACCAACAGATCACGAAGATCAAGATCTTGATTTCACATCTGCAGCACGGCTGCAACCGCAGCTGACCACATACAGAATTGAACGAACTTGAAAGAGATCTAATTCTTAAAAGAGGCAAGCAGAATTACTTCGGTCTCGCCTTCAAGAAAATGACCAGTTACAACCAAACACTAGTATTACATTCCGAAAAACACTGCTTGATATTTCCTTCTTTTTTTCTCGATGACCGACGGATTGATATACTGTAATGACATAAATGGGCTGCTTACAAACTTTTCAGTGAATCGCAATCGAGAAGAATGGCCTCTATTTTTCTCGAAATGTAGTCTCAAAACCATTCTCTGACAAACCGGAAACGAGAACCCTTCGATACCAGTGGCCATTTCCACTATGTTCACAGAAACCTATGAGAACAGGAGGATACTCCTGACGTACACTGGCTACCCGAGTCACCAAAGAAAATCGGTGGTGATCTCAAAGTTCTGGAACTTCTAGGAATACAGACTGGTAACACACAATATAGCTGTATCTTGTATCACTGGGTTAGTAGGGCAAGGAAATAACATCGCAGAATTCGTGACTTGATGAAAGAAATTACCCTTGAACAGTTGCTGACATATACTTAGAAGGCAGCTTGGCTTGCATTGTAAATGAATGCGACAATGTCTTTGGAAACGTAATGTCTGAGAATTTCACGGAACTGACGGTACACATGCTGGACTGTTACAAGGCTGTGAGTTGCAACATGTCTCTGAAATTACTTTTCTTTCATTCCCATATGATTTCTTCCCATCAAATCTTGAAGATGTGAGTGATGAACATGGTGAGCCATTTCACCAATATATCGCTGCCACGGAAAGACGATACAAGGAAGGATGATCACTAAACCTTTTGGTGGATTACTGCTGGCCACTCCTACAGAAGTATCACCCAAAAACGGAAAGTTTCCAACTTTTAAGTATATTTCAAGGTTTATTCACCTTTCTCCTACTGTTTTCTTTTATGTTTTGTAATACAAACAATTAATTATATAGATAATTTAATATAAACAATTTTTGTAATACAATTAATTTTTGAAAGTGGTATATGTAGCGTATCTTTTCCAGAAAAATTGGTACGTAATGAAACATTTCTGATTTTATTTTCGCAATCAGCGCGTGTGATTTAGTATAGAACACATACCTTCATCTCGCGGCAAGACAAAAATTTCAAATTTGTTGCACTGTGTAATCAATACATTATTGGGAAGCACAGGGATGCCCCTAGAGATTTTGAAATGGGCCCCGAAGCCTCACGTATTAAACATTTTATTACCGTAAATACGTTCAACTCCTTATTTTCCTTTCTCCCCCTTGTTCCTAAACCTTTTGGAATTCTGCATGACAAACACAAAATTAATTGTATTTAACAATCGAATAATTAAAGCATATTTCATTCTCCGTAGTCGGTTTTATTTATTTATTGATAATGAATGTGTGTGTATAAATACATCCACAATATATTAATCATATATAAAATTGTTATTTATTAATTACATAAAGATTTATTATATAATTAAAAAGGTGAAGGGAAAAAGAGGGCCAGAAATGTAGTTGGCTCCTCCTCGGCAGCTCATGCTTATGGTACGTAGTATATATCCCTTTTACGATTTTCACGCCCAACAAATAACAAATAAAGCGCCAAACGAAAGATAATTTGCAGAGAAGTGGCGCAATGTACACGCACTTCCAAAATTTATGATTTTATTGAAAACCCTGGCTTAATCGGTTGGGCGCAAAATATGTAACACGCAACTAATGGCACTCATAAACAGTTTTCTGCCAGGTCGATCATATATAATTCGAAAACAATGCATCCCGGGGCTTCAAAATTTGGTTTTCAAGACCGGAGACTTCAAGTTTTGTTTCTTCCGGCATAATCTACAAAATGAAATTATTTGTGAATTTCTTTTGCAGTTTTGGAGTTCGGCTCGTTTGGGAAGAGTTGCGGTTGATCAGTGAGATGCCAAATCTCGATTTTTAAGTGAAATAAAACTATCTAAAGTTTTATGCAATTTAGTCGCAGAGGTTTTATGCAATATAGCTATTCGTTTATCATAAACGCTATTATTTGCGAGAGTTCTCGCACGGGTACGCTAGTCTTCAATATATTCTCGATTAACTCATCACATTTCTTTTCTGAACGTCTCGTGTTCGAAATTCTTTAAAATGAGTCAATAAGTTTCTTTTAAGATTAAGTACACATAACTGATATTAAGTGACGCAATTTTTGTGATTGAGCTCGTTAATTTTACGGGTGGGGCTCAGGGGCATTCGTTCTTGAAGAACCATTACTAAATATACCTGTTTTATGACAGAAGGTGATGTGCTGGTCCTTTCTGGTTAACTAATTACTTGAGGTCGATACTCTAATTATCCGTGAACGAGAGGGACAACTCCCATTTTGCTCCCGACTGGTTGATAACGAGGGTGCCGCCCGAGTAGCGCGTGTGGGTTGCTTGCGACCGCGTTCACCCACTAGTACGTATTGTGGGAATTTCTTTAAAATTGGGACGCTTCTCAACAATAAATAAAATCAACTAATCAGAATAAAAATCTTAATATTTATGGAAATTAAATCTCGCACGCGAATAATTTTGTTTGTACGAAACAGTTGCAAGGAATTTCAAATAGGTATATAAGAAGGCCCAATTGCACGTATTTACACTCTACGTATAAAAACTCGTTATTCATGGAGTACTGTTGAAAACACTTTCACATATAATCTGGTAATCTGGTTATAGACTAAACGTACATTACCGTCAAAAAATTCTTTCGCAAATATGTAGCGAGATCAACGCCCTTCGGATGCAATCAAAGTGCGTATACTACGAGAAACGACGAGTAGAGGATGCATCGTTGCAGTATACGTGTCTTATCGCGTATACATATATATCCACTTATTTATTTTATTTATATACTCAAACGTGAACAGTCTATAGACATTTGGCATCTTTAAATGTATTTATTTTTGGGTTTGGTATTTTATTTGAATGTATTTGGAATTCGTGTAGGTTAACTGGAAGTGTGTTGCCTCATAAGTCGGACTCAGCATTTCCGAACGCATGTGATACTGTCAACGGAAGTGAAGAAGCCATCGCCCATTTGTAACAATAGTCTGTCCACGGTAAGTGAAGATTGATTTATTTGGAGAGTTTGGGGATGTAATGTGTGTGATGTGTTATCGAAATTGATAGTGCGAAATCGGAAGTAAGTATAAGAGTGAGATAGTGTGAAAAGTAGAACATTACAGGAAGAGATCGATGTGAAGACATGGCGGTGTTACTTAGTGCTTGAAGGAAATAACTCGGCTTGAAGATTTCGTGGCTGGCGCATGGAATAAAGCCACGTAAAGGTATTCGGTTATTCTAATATTAATGGCTTTGTATGTGGTTTTGAGTGAGTAGTAAGGAGAAGTGTTGGCATTTCAGTTTTCGAACGAGTTGATCAGTGTACACGGTAACCTATGTTGCACTTCTGAGATACCTTGAAGTAAGTGTTTTCGTGTTAATTTATGAACAGAAATTCTATGTGTTTGACAATAGGAAGAAGTGTGTGTAGTATTATTTGTTTATTTGAATTTAATCCGTGTAAAACTTTTAAAGTTGGTTATGTCGAATACTCAAGTCCCGAACCTATGTTTTTGCTTTTTCGTAAAAATCTTATATTATAATTATTATAATAATTTGCTACAATGAGTGCCATATATATCTGCGAGTGCAGTCAAATTTTGTAACAATTTATTTTCAAAATTGTAGTGGTACAAGTTGACACCATCTATGTGAGTGTGATTGAATTTGGTGCCTTTTGACTGTGAATAAGAATTATATTTAAAGTGTTCTCTGAAATAACTTATTCATGAACATGGTGACAATTCAGTGTGTAGATGATAAATTATTTCATACAATTGTTATAACCTATTTTTTATTGTTCGATTTGTTGGTGGTACCATTAACCCTGCAAATTTTCTGGCAACTTGTGAAAAATTTAATTAGCATAATAATGTTAATTCTCAGCATAAGAAAATGTCATAATTGTTTTTGTCAGATTATAAAGCAGAAATTCCCTAAAATTGTATACCATGAAATCGTCTTCCAATTAGTGTTAACACAACAATTAAGACACACACTATTAAGCTATTTTCTTATTTTTCTATTGTTGATTTAAAAAGACAATCAATGCAAGTGTGGTTTTAGTTTTTTAATGTACTTAAGGAATAACAATCATGAACCATTTATTTTATTGAAGATCAGGAAAAAATTGCCTCCTTGTAGCTTTATTAATTTTTTCTGTATATTTTATTATAAACTGAATGTTGAGAGTCTTTTCTTCCCAGATTTACATTTCTTAATTTTCCAATCTTTGAGCACATATTTTTCATTTTCATCCAGAAAAAATAAATTGTTCATATGTGATAGAATCTACATTCAAAGGTAGGCAAGTTCTTATTCTTGATTCCAATATTCCAATATTGTTACATGAGCAGAGTCCAATCATTGCTAGAGCTTTAAAGTGTTTTGACAGAAGTATAATATTGTATTGTTAGGAAAGAAGATTGAATCTATTTTGTTTGATTAGTGTACAGCCCATACTATATAGTTTCAGGCAATTAGATTTCCTGGTAATTTTATTTTTCTTTAACATTTCATAAGAAGCATTTATGTCCTGTTCACTTGCTAGTTATTGGATAGATTTGCAGATATTAGTATATAACCTGAATTTTAACTAGGTGGTCATGTTCAGGAAACTCAGAAGAAGACAGGAAATTCCATTGATCTAGTAAAGTCTGAAAATTCTGGGAATTTTTAGGTGAATCTTGCAAATTTTTCTGACTGAAACTATGATTTCATTTTTCAAGTAATGTTTTGTCTTGCTTGTAGTGAAATTGGAAAGTTTACAAATAAATAACAAGGAAGTAAGTGCTTCATATTGTAGTGACCGCCATTCACTATGCATTAGTGCCAGAGAGTTTGGGATAGAACAGACAAAAGAGATCAGTTGAGTATCAATTTTGACTTGCATCTTGCTTATCTTTAAATTCTAGAACTGACAAAAGGGATCGGTTGCATTTCAATTTTGACTATCTTCTTGCTTTTCTTTAAATTCTAATAAATTTTTTTTTTTTTAAAGGGAAAATACCAAAATATGTCTTCTTAAAACCAGGAAAAGAGCGGCCACTCATTGAACCCTTTTTAAGCAAATCAACACATTTTCTCTTTTGAAGTTTATGCATTTAAGTTTGTAACATAATTAAATAGTTGATTTTGGAAAATTATTCTTATTAGTTGTGGGTAACTGCTTAAAATGTATTATAACAAATGTGTGTTTAACTGATGAATTTTGCTTATTATGGGAAAATTGAAGTTTATTGTTTAATTACAATGTTAACATGCCACCGTATATAAAGTTCAAGAACTTCAGGTGTATCCCCTCATTTCTATCTATCTTGCTAGGAAGCAGTCCATTCTACGCCTGCAGGGATCACACTAATATTGTGTTGCCTTTCAGTTGTTATTTGAATGGCAAATATTTTTTAATATTGCAAAGAATATAAGTTCTTCTTATATTCTGTTGTGATACATATTAGTCACTCTAGAACCCAGGACATGCATGTGAATTATACTTAGCAATGAACATTGATAATGTTTTCCTCTTTCAGTAATCCATATGTTTTCACAAATTTTATAGCGGTTCTTTCAGGTTATTTAATTTCAGATACACAGTGAACAGTTTTCTCTTTTTCTGCAAATTGTCTTTTTATTCAACAAAATAATCATTTGTTAGAGCTAATACTGTTTTTAAGGAGTGTGGAAATTAATTGGTGGATTCAGGTACTGACTTGACATGCAGATATGGATGTGATAAAAAATTGTTGTCATAGATATAGTAGTGTGTGAAAATCCAGTGAGATTTTCAAGTTTTATTGGGGTTTCCCGTTTAAATGAGGAACGCATTCAGCTCTTAATTTTAAAATATCGAGAGGGGAAGTTTTTTATTTATCGTAGTATTACATATCTTAATGCCCTTTTTTTAAATGTTTTTTTATGCCTTTCTGAACTGTTAATTCTTTTCTGTTCATAATTTTGTCTCTTATTCTCATTGACGTTACTTGTGAAAATTGCCAAAAATAGATACAATTACCTCATCAAAAAATCTGACATTTGTCTTTATTAATATACTTTTAAACAATTAGTGATGTTTGTCAAGTGGGACTATGTCAACTTAGTGTCCCTTCAATATTTAAGTGACAGATTTATCTGATTTATTATTATATTAAGCAAATCTGATGTGTGTCTTGTGGCATTTTTTAATATTAGAATATTTTGTAGTCATTTGTTTTACATTCTAGTCATTTTAGCTCCCTATCACATTTTCTATTAATTACTCAATGTGGCATGAGAGTTGAGTACTGGAGTGACTGTGCTCTAGACACGTGTCATAAGTTCCCTAGAGCTTTAAAGTGAATGTTAGGGAACAATTAGAATTATTGGAAGAAATATTACTCAAAATTGTATATTTTGTCCCAAAATATTTAAAAAGCAGGAAGTTTAAGTGTATGAATTAGTTGGTCATTTTGACTATGAACTAATTATAAACAAATATAAATTTTTGCCAATGTGCCCCAGAAAATAAACTTTTATATCAAGAAATATAACCACATAAACCCTACAATTAGGTAATGATAGAAATAATTGCAGTTTATGCCTGTCAATAATGCTCAGTCAAACTCTTCTTACAAATCTGTGTTGGAAGATTCATAGAATGAGGAAGAAATTTGTCTTCGAGAGATGATCTTGGACTGTTGGATTTCTTTTCCTTTATATACATTTTTATCCTCATAAGAAAAGTGATTGTTAATAAAGGTAAAATTAAATCTGTAAGGAGCCAATCTTTTATTAGATTGGTGTCTGTAGTTAACTGAATGGTGACTGTTAGGATTTTTTATGAATTTTCATATGAACACAGTTTTGTGAAATGCCATAAGAATTTGGTTTTTCAAATTCTGACATTATTTACTTTAGAAGTGCTGTTTCACATTTGTATACAACGCTTTACTTGTTTTTTCATGAGTGATACACATCGGGCTGGCTACTTTTCCTTCATAGGATCACCTTCCCACGACGGTTTCTCAATTTCCCTTTCAATGGCTCTACCAGATGTTCAGTAGTGCCTGCTACATTTATCACGCGTTCTATTCACTCCCAGCATGCTGGAATGTCATATCAGTCTTTCTTTTCATGAAAATTTATGAACAATAATTCCTCTCTATTGAAAAATTTTATGCATGTTGTAGATGATGCGCAGTTAATTCCTGCAATAGAAAATTAAGGGCTTTTAGAAATGTGTAGCATACTGCATGGCCTTATCTATGTATAGGAAGAATTTTCAGTAGTATAAGAATAGATAACTAAGTATTCAATAATTCAGTTGGAATTGTTGATCATACTGTACATATTGGGTAAGTGATTGTGTACAAGGGTGAATTAATAAGAGTTTATAAGCAGCTGAAGCACATGCTTGAGGCCTGCACAGGGTAGGGGCCTCCATTTATTAAACAGTTTTATGATATTTAATCAGCGTGTAAAAAACAATGTTAAGTTATTTCATTAACTTTACAAAAGATTAATAATTGAAATTCAGGTTTTAAAACATAGGTAATGAATGATTTAAAATGTTGTTTGTTAATTAGATGAAAATTATTTTCAATTATATTTACGTTGTGTTTGTTTTAATATTCAACTTGGATATTTCAAAAAGGTAATAATTTTATTTTCATGTTCATTTGATCATTTATTTTCAATGTTAGGGAGCTCCTATAGTTTGGTCAGGCATAGACCCCCTTGGCCCTAGTTTTGTGCTAATTGTTTAGCAAATTACTAACAAATATTGCCTTTGCCCACTTCCACGAAAGTGGTCGTCCTATCGCTGGTAGAAATGCTCGTAGAAATTCAATCGGAAACACGATCATGTTGAATGTTGATAATTGATACTGTGATAAAGGAAGGAATAGAAGCGTGCCTGCGACAATATTGCCATAGGTGCGTAGTGAGTGGGCTCGAAACTAGCCCGAGGACCGGGTACAGCTCCCGGCCAAGCTTCATCCGAT